AGGGTGAACACGATATGAACAAGGGGTGAACAACCACATAAAACCAGAAATATATATGAACAAGGGATGAACCTTAAACGGCGTGGATGCAATGCATGTATAAAACTCCAATTGACAAATGATCGCTCCTGAATATGTTTATAATGAAAGAACTATTGTTCACAAGCTGTTCATATCGTGTTTATACATGTTTTTTTTATTTATTTCATTTCGTATAACAGTTATTCTTATCATGTTCATATCGTGTTCATAAATGATATGCATCCAAAGTTCATATATATGTCGATTTTTTGTTCGTATTTGACACAATGGTTCATATGTATATAGTTGTGTTCATATGATTTTACATTAACAAAAATCATAGAATTTTTTGATTTTGTAACTCCTAATTAATGATATGAGAGTTACAATTAAAAAAATAAGTTTTTATCATGATTAATCACAACCGTTTATTGAAAGATTGAATGACCAAGATCGGTTAACAAAGTTAACACAAAAACTTTGGTTAACATTTGAACTTGACCCTATATATATATATATATATATATATATATATATATATATGCTAATCAAATCAGAATTATTTTGTTTATGATAATTGTGAGATCGGATCTTAATCATAAATCAAAGTTTGAATTAGAAAATTAATAATTTTGATAATTTTAACTTAAAATATCAATTAAGAACATTTTAGGGATTTTATAAATATCATCTCTCGTCTCTCTTCTTTCCTCTCTCCGGCAAATCTTATTCGGTGAACCTCATTCCGATGAAATTTATGTGAACACAAGATACGCACTGTGATACCTACAAACGGTGTTCACTGTGATATCCAAATATACATACAAGATGCACAATGTAATACCCTTTGTAAAACAATGAAAATAACGAAGATGCACACTATGATACATTTCATAAAACAAAAAAAAATACATTGTGATACACGTGAAACCTTGTAAACGTTATAACTATAATATACTTTGATTCACAAACGTTTTTAAAATACGATTTATATTAGGTAATTAATATACTAGGTAACTAATTTTAATTAAATATTTTCTTCTAAAAAAATTAATTAAATATTTTGAGTAGTTGTTAAAAATAGAATTACAATATTATTCTTTTAGTATATTTAAGAAATATCATTAAATATCTCAAATGAGTTGTTCACATTGGATTTCACAGTTACCATAAACTAATCAGTTCTCTCTTGATTGAGCTCCTACACACATACACACACACACACACACATATATATATATATATATATATATATACATGTATAGACTTGGGATCATGTGAGACCAAAGGTATTTCATGAGACCTGTAAGACCAATTCTCAACTCTTGGATTAGATTTATAATCTGACAATCTGAACATTTATAAACGCCACAAGACTTTTCAATTTATGTTCATTAATCAACTTTATAAGCTAATGCTCTAATGGTCTAAAGTTGCACGATGACAATTTTGTGATTATTGAGAAGTCTCGTGGCAATTTTGTGATTATGAATGTTCAGATTGTAGATCTGATCCAAGGGTTGAGAATTGGTCTTACGGGTCTTACGAAAAACCCTTGGTCTCACATGATCTCAAGTCTATATTTATATACAAGTTATCAATGTACATTATTACCTTTTCTTTTCATGTTCTTAAGATACTTTTGACACATTCCACTCATGCCTTCACCCTCTCATACCTCTATGTCTTCTCCCCATCCCCCAAGGTGAGATTTCAACTGATATTCATCATGAGTTATTAAAAGTTCTCTCATTCATCTCTCGTTCAATTGCTATAGAACTTTCGGTCTCACTCTCGATCTCTTGATTCTTTGCTCTTTGTGTAAATAGAATACATTTGTGGAGTCGTTTAAATTAATATGTTGGATTTCAAATATATTGGATTTTAAACTAGCATATAAATTTTTTCATCGATAGACTGTAATTGGAATCATCTCTTATTTATTCAAATTGTATTAATATGTAAAGACTAAGTGTAACTTATATCATCGTTAAATCTTTTCTAATAAAACCAATGAAACTTCAAAATCGTTAAAATTCACGGCTCCCGCTGCATTACACGGGTACACAACTAGTATTTTTATAAATATGAATGATATATTGATCAACACAATATTAGCTTTACTTGAGATATTTATTAAATTTTTTGAAAAAACTCGCCACATTTTAAAGAATGTAGACTAATTTTGTTAAAAAAATCGCCACTAATTTCCAATGAAACATAATTAAACTGTTCAATGAAACAGGGTAATTTCCAATGAAACAAGCTCAAACTATCCAATGATATAGTGTCATATATGTTTGCGTCCGATTCATATGTATAATAGTTGTAATAAAACAAGTTTATATTCATATGTATATATAATAGTTTGTAATGAAACATGTTTATATGTATAACAGCTGTAATGAAACAAGTTCATAGGTCATATATGATTGCATCATGTTCATATATATAACAGCTGTAATAAAACAGGTTCATATAATACGTTTTTCTCCGTTTTTCCCTTCCATGTCTCCACTATGAATTCTTTTTTTCTATTATTATTTTTTAGTTTGTTTCAATCTTGACATTTCATCTAAAAAATGGATGCATATGATTAATTTGTAAGATTTGTATGAAATGAATAGTTTGCGATGTCAGTTTGTTTTCGTGAGATCACATTTTTACATTTGAACCTCTACAACAAAACATTATTTGAAGTAAAAACAATCCAAACCTTCATAGATAAACACTGTGAAAGTAATATTCACAGTATCAACTGTGAAATTTCAAGTATAAAAAAGTAGTGTCACAAATATTATAAAAATAGACATATCTCATCATGATACCAAACCTATATACATATATGCAAAGTTACAATTTCTTCCTTCCCTAATCAAAAGAAGATTAAGATCTATTAGAATTTTATATATTTTAAATTTATAATTTCTCTATAATAACACGTATTCATATGATTGGTGGATATAAATGAACGGTAACAAATAAGAATTCCATATATAAGATTTTAATCTAAATATCTAACAATTCACATGTGATTTAAACCGAAGAATTAGATCATGATCACCTACACACACGAAATCAGGTAGCATTCATATAGAAATATTCAAACTCAATGATGATCTTATGTTTTTGACCTAAAAATCTTAACACATATACATATATATATATATATATATATATATATATATATATATATATATGTTGCATCTATGGATTCCAAACCAACAACTGCTTCATTACTTTTTTGATCTTGATACCCTTCGAATCAAGACCAGTAAACAAAGCAGACGATAGAAGACGAAAAACCCAATCAATATATAAACATTGATCCATCTCTGGTTCTCATGGAGCCCTCTTTTCTGCAACACATCACCGCCGGTCACCATGCACGTCTGGCTTTCCTCTTCATACCATATCAAACACCTGGTGGTCATGCATGAATACTCGTTGATCAACAGTGCATCCAGCCCGTACTTGTACATCGACAAGTAATGCATCATTACCCAGTACTTTGGCATACTTTCTTTCGATATGAAGTAGCCGGAGAACAGGAAGAATCCGGCAAGAAGTACAGTTACCAGTGAGGTTCCGGTGATGTAGTTTGGTGCCACGGAGCTCAAGAACAAGATGAATGAGTTCGCCATTAATACGATGATCCAGATCACTAAAACGAAGTAAGAAAATGCTTGCCATGTTTGACACAGACCCACCAAGAAGTAGACTGATACGGAGTAGACGATCGCGATCGCGAGCAAATATGGGAAGAAGACGAGGGTGTTTGCTACAAGATATGATGATAGCCTGTAAACGCCACTTGATGTTTCTCGAAGCAGAATCGGCCTCTCGTTGATGAAAATTGGGAGTGTTTCGGTTGTGGAAGAGAGGAGGAAGGTTAGAGTGAAGGCAAAAAGGCCGAATCTCTTCTCGATCCCAGTTTTATCGAAGCCAATGTTGATGTAAATTGTTCCTAATACAACACCCACAACTAATGCCTGCAAGGTGTTTGTTAAAAGTAGCTGTTTCGTTCTGTAGATGATCTTCCAAAATCTACCATACAGAGCGATGATCTCCTGAACCCTCGAGCTCCGGTAACGAATGGGGTCGTGTTTGGGGCGAACAAGAGCGAGTGTGGGATCGATGGGGGAAGGTGGGGCAATGGGTTTGATTACTTGGAGCTGGGTTAGTATTTCCATGGCGTATTCGAGTGAATTGAGCTGTGGAGGGACTGTAAAACCATTTAATAACAAGTATTCCTCAAGGGACGGTAGAGTTCCATGATGAACAACTTTCCCTTTGGATAGCAACAGAATTCTGTCAATGGTTGAAAGGATCTTGAAGCTGGGTTGATGTATCGATAAGATCACCGTCCGGCAACGGGAAGTGGCGATAGATCTGAGAGTCTGCATCACATTGTAAGCCGAACTGCTGTCTAGACCGGAGGTGGGTTCATCAAGAAGCAAAACTCCGGGATCATGGAGGAGACTGAGGCCAATAGAAACACGCCTCCGCTCGCCACCGGATAGGTTATGGCCAAGTCGTGTGTGTGCTAAATGTGTCAGCCGGAGCTCCGATAACAGACTAGTGACCACGTCTGCAATTTGGACGGCTTTGGGTTGCAATAGCCGGGCGGCGAACGCAAAGGTCTCGGAGACGGTGAGCACCGGCAAGCAGGAGTCATGTTGAGGGACGTACGCAGAGAGTTTCCGGTAGGATGAAGGAGTGAGTGGGGCGGCATTGAGGAGGAGGGTGCCGGTGGTGGGGGCGGTGCGGGCGGCTAAAATGTCGAGTAGAGTTGATTTTCCGGCACCACTAGGGCCGACAATGGCGAGGATTTGGGCAGGGTAAGCGGCGAGAGAGATGTGTTGGAGGATATGGGAAGTGGGTGACTTTGAATAGGAGATGGAAGCAGCTTTTAAGGTGTAGGTTTTAATGGCGGGTGGTTCTGCCATGGACGATGATGATTGTAATAATGATGGAGAGAAGAAGATTAGAAAGGAGAATGTGAGATAATGATATGCTTACAAGACATGGGGTTTTGGGGGGTAATTGTAGAAGGGAAATTTGGGTTTCTATGCTTCAATTGTAAAATATATAATTTAGGATTTAAATATGATAAGATGCCCGTGACATGACAAAAAAGAAAAAAGAAAAAGAAAAGGTGAGGTAATGATTCATGGTCTATGGACAAAAAATGGTCACATGGCTTTTAATACAAGAGGAGTCCGTGAACACACACACACACACTTAGTTGTGCATTTTTACCAATACCACTTTTTCAACCCTATCCATACTTCCTTTATTTTTTTTAGAAAATAATTGCGTTTACTAAATACTTATTCAGTAAATGTTTATCGTTAAAATTTAATATTACTATTTATTTATCGGATAATATTTTAGTTTACCAGAACAAAATCGCATGTAACAATTAATTTACACGGTAAGCGTTTACTATGGTAAGAGTCGTCGCTTTCACTTACTGGGTAAGACTCTTGATCCTAACTTGTCTTATTTTTACCGGGTAAGATTCTTGGTTCGTACCATATTCATCCGGTAAAGTAATTTGACTTGATAAACGCTTACTGGGTAAACATAATCTACCGTGACTTTGTAAAAAATTCCTATAACTTTCGTCTTTACGTTCAAATAATGTCAACGATTGATTTTTTATTATTAAGATGAACCTCTAATTAGGTGGTAACGTGAGAAATTAGTCTATATGATTATATTCACTTTCTTCCAAAAAAAAAAAAACAAAGACATGTAGCATATATAACTAATTATGTTTAAGCATAAATTTTGAATTTTCTATTTTGATAAAAATTGCATGAATTATCTATATTCGATTTAAAATAAATTTTTGCATCTCGTTGTATCATATATGTACACAACTTGTGTGTGTATATATATATATATATATATATATTAAAAATAAGAAATGCCTATTATTTATAGTATAAAAATTTAACCATTATTTTATGTAAATAGTAGATAGTAACAATAATCGTAAAAAGTATATATGTGGGCAAAGGCTAAGCAAGCGGCCAACAGTGTAGGCTTGAGGACAGATTTCAAGTGGCTTCCGTGACCCAATTATGTAACCCACTTGTTGCACTATCATTTTTATTGTTATTACTTTAGGTTTAGACTAAGGATAAACTTACGAGAAACTTGTTTCCCACTTCTCATACCATATCATTGCACCTAAATACAAGCATAATCTCGATAAAAAAACTCCAACCATGGTTTTATAAAATAAACCACACAAGTCAAAAAGTTTTGTCTATTTCTAAACTATGGTAACCTTTGGTATGCAAATATAATTGTATAAGACTAAACAAGATTGAACTGGACAGGACATGACAAGAGGGTATGATTGAACTTGACAGGACAGGACAGGATAAGAGGGTAGGACTGGACTGGACAATACTGGACGGGACATGACTGAATATAACATGAGTATGTCTGGTGTTTGGTACGACTAGGACTGGACGAGACAGAACTAGACAAGCTACCCCCAAAAGTTATTTGATAATTTTAAATATTATATAATAGTTATAATTAACACAAATAAAGTAAATAATTAAAGAATAAATATTTGTACATAATTTTCATATTTGTACCAAATTTGAATGAAAATTTTGATATAATTGATGATAATAGTGGAGGTGGTTTTGGTTATGGTGGAGGTGGTGGTGGCCGACGGTAGTAGTGGCAACAGGCGGTGGTGGTCGGTGGCCGACAGTGGTTATGGAGGTAGAGCAGTGGAGCTTGGTGGACGATGGTGGTTATAGCAGACATGAAGATGGTAGATTGTGGTGGTGGTGGTGGTGGTGGTGGTGGTGGTGGCGGTTGACAACGGTGGAGGAGGTAGTTATAGTTGATGTAGTGAAGATAGTGGTGGTGGCGGTTATGGTGGAGGTGAGGTGGCGATGGCCGATGGTGGTCGTGGAGAAGGTTGTTGCAGTAGAGGAGGAGTTGAAGGTGGCAAACGGTGGTAGTGGTGGTGGGAATGAACGGTGTTGGTCGGTGGTCGACTATGGTAGAGGTGGCAATGGACTTGGTGGACAGTGGTTGTGGAGGCGGTGGAAGATGTTGTTGTAGTGGAAGAGGAGGTGGAGGTGGTCGTCGGTGACCGCCAGTAGTGGTGGTGGCAGCCGAAACTAACGGTGATGACCATTAAAACGAATACCATATTAAAGTTATATATCAAACTAGAGTAGATTAGTAATATTTTAGTTTATGTCTTGTTCTTGTTCCACATATATTTAGTGGAACAAGAAAAAACCTCTTTTGTCTCATGTTGTCCCACCTTGTCCCAGTTCTTGTCCTTGTCCCATGTCGCGCCAAACGTGGGACAGTGAGTTTTGTCTCGTCTTGTCCTGTCCTGTCCCGTCCCATGTAGCAGACGCAACCTATATTCCATAAAAATTAGCGTATTGATCAAATAAAGACGGACAAAAACGTCTTCCCTCAGAAAAATTATGGCCTCATGGTTGACAAGGTCCTCTAATCAAATATTTTCTCCTTATTTCATCTCTTTGATTAAGATGATACTCTGATTTTTTTCCTATCGATTGGATCCCAAGGAAGATCATTCGAATCAATTTCATTATGAATCGAAGGAGCAAAGCTAGATCTGGATGTTGATATTTTTCTTTTAAAAAACTTTTCTATTTTTTCTGGGGGAAAAGTCCAAGAAACCCCAATAAACTTTCTTATTTCGAATGATTTAGTCCATAAACTATTTTTTTTAAATGAAAAAACCATTAAACTTTTTCATTTTGAATGATAAGTCCTTGAATTATTTTTTGAATGAAAAAATCATTAATTTTTTTTATTTTGAATGATTAAGTCCCTGAACTATTTTTTGAATGAAAAAACCATTTGAACTTTTATATTTTAAATGATTAAGATCCTAATTTTTTTACAAAATAAATAAAGTATCAAAGTTTTACTAGCCGGTTAATGTAACTTTTTTGGGTTAATTGAATGTAGATAACCAATTTTAAAAAGTGCGATGGTTTATTTATTAAAAAGATGTTTAGACACGTAATCAACCAAAATAAGAAAGTTTAATGGTTTTTTTCATTCAAAAAGAGAAAGCCGTTACTTCTCCTTCTTGTTCTCGATCTCCCCACTCACCAGTACTGTTGGTTCTCTATTCTCGGACTCAGCTTCTCGCTCTCGCTCTCACTCTTAGGCCTCAACTGGTCATTAAAGCCGTTTGAGGTAAAAAAAAAAAAAAACCTTTTTTTCTCCTCTAGCCGTTATTATCCGGCCGCTAAAGTGGCTCGGTGTGTTTGTAATAGGGGTATGTAGGAAGTCAGCCGATCCAATAAAAACCGACCAATCTAATTAAAAACGACCGATCATAAAGAGTGAAAGATGAGAGCTAGAGTCTAGAGAGAGTTGGACAAAAAGGCCAAAAAAGCTTATCTTAAAACATTCTTATAAACTTTTATCATTTATAAAAATCACTCTCAATTTTTATAAAAAAAAAGTTTTATAAAAAAAGCCACTAAAATAAGATTTTGTGAATAAGATTTTATAAAGGTCATTCTCAATTTTTATAAAGAGAAGTTTTATAAAATTAACACCGATCTGAGTTTGAATACCAATCATGAAACATTCGTATTTCCACATACAACTTGAATATTTCCGTTCCGTTGCGCCTTCTTGGATTGATCACTAATTTGAAGTTGCCACAATTTTCGAGACAACAACGTATACTTCGTAACTTGTATGTATGTATGTATGTATTTATATATATGTGTGTGTATATATATATAGAGAGAGAGAGAGAGAGAGAGGTTAGTTATTATACAACCCATGACATTTGTGCAACCAATACAACTCAATCTCAACCGTCCATTTCATTTGATTAATATGTGATTTCATATAAGTTTCGATTGTTTCCTAATATAAAGTATTGATCATAATTAATGAACCTTATTAATCTTCCATAAATATTCAAATAATAATAAATGAACTCTCATCATTTCCATAAATATCTCAATTTATTGGGTTGCATTGGTTGTACAAATACAACAGGCTGTATTTGAAACAAACTCTACATACATGCATAGAGGGACGGACCCAAGATTTTTTTTTAATACGATAGCACCATATAGTATAGATAAAAAATAATTGCAAAAAGCACGGTTTCTATCGATGCGTCTTTATGTTTTTACTAACGTTCAATATCGCTCGATGTGTTTTTAGCCTAATTCCATTGTTTTGAGGAATTTTTGATGTTTTTTTTGCTTGATTTCGAGGAATTTTTTTAGTTATTTTTGTCAATTTCGAGATAACTTTTCAGTTTTTTTTTTATTTCAAGAGTTCTTTTTGTTTTTTGGTTGATTACGAGGTATGGTTGCACCTTCTTGAACTTTTGAATATCATACGGTGACATCTTCTAAAACACTGTTGCACCTTTCATAAACATAAAATTAATAACCTTTCGGCAGAGAGATAACACGGTGACACGTGCCATCGTATGCCCTTCTATGGGTCCGTCCATGTATGAACATCAAGTAAAATGTTAAATGTCATGCCCCGATTTTCGTTCGAGTGTCATGACATCATTCTTAGTAACTTATACTATGAACAAAATACAAACTTAAAAATTTCAAACATACATAATATGTTTAACGTAATTCATTACATAATTGCGGAGGTGTAAGATATTTTAACGTAATCAATGCTAATTAAAATGTCTAAACAAACATAATTCAAAGTATAGTCATGTCTTTCTTCATTTAACTCGCCTAATGACAATTGACACTTGAGATATATACGTGTATAATATAAGTTAAAAGCTTATGAATACAATATGGTTTCATGATCACATTTACATATAAACAGTGTTTTAACGTATTTTAGTTATTATCTTGCAAGTGTGGCATCGGCTCGTCACTTTTCTTTGCTTATGTGGTATATTCTATGGACGAGGACTCCAAGACCTCGGAATTGCAAGCTCTCCTTTCATGTCCAACCCACCCCGTAGTGTGGATGAGCCTTACCGAATCATACTAGTTTTTGCATACCACTTATTTGCAATACTCACTCATTAAAGCAAATCTTATCGTAGCATGCATATACATCTCATGCAAGTGACAATATAAAACACATATGCATCATCATCATCATCTTTCACCTTATATACATACTTGAATATTATATTAATAATATTAAGTCATCATCATCAATATCTTTCATATCATGCATATGCTTGAATATCATGTACATCAATACACTCAAGTTATCATCATATGCTTATAAACACATCATGCAAATATCAAGGATAAAATACCTTGTAATAATCATGTATATATCCCATAAAAATTGCATAATGTACTCACATTGAATCGTGAATGTTTGATAGGTCGTTTTCTCAAAATCGCAACCTACATGATAATTCATACTATTCCTAAGTATCTTGAATAATCGTAACTAAATTGATTATTACCTCCTAACGATCTTAGCACGAACAACTCTTAACAATTTTTACTAGGCCACTCCCAATATCTTCATATCTCATTTTTCACTCAAATATTTACTTGAAACATAAATACGACGTTGTCATAATATTTCTCGAAGTAAAAATTGATGCTTAAATATTTTATAAAAATATGCCATATATTCACATTTTCTTCATATATTTATATTCCCATTTACTCCAAGATTTAGACAAAAAAGAAATTGTAATGTTGGGATTTTGGGTGGAAATAGGTGAAATTTTAGTAGGTAAATTAATGCCCCAAATGGTGAAAGAATCATCATATGCCCGGAAGAGAGATTGTTATGAACCATACTTGACATGCAGGTATATATTCCAAAAGGAACTTGTCTAAAACTACCTATAGGCGGTAGGGGTCGGGTTATTGATGTGAGATGTGTCCATAGTTCTAAGACAGATGACACAAATAAGATAGAAAGGATTCGTGTATATATTTTATAGAAACGTGAAATAAAAATAGGCGATAAAGTAGCCGGAAGACATAGAAATAAAGGTATCATTTCAAATTTTTTGCCTAGACAAGATATGCCTTATTTGCAAGATGGAAGGCCTATTAATATGGTCTTCAACCCATTAGGAGTATCTTCATGGATGAATGCAGGACAAATATTTGAATCTTCACTCAGGTTAGCGCAGGGGGGGGGGGGGGGGGTGCTAGATAAACATTATCGAGTAGTGCCTTTTGATGGGATATATGAACAAGAAGCTTCTAGAAAATTGGTGCCTTTTGAATTATATGAGTCAGTAAGCAAACAACGAATCTATGGGCATTTGAACCTGAGTATACAGGGAAAAAAAGCTTTTTTGATGGAAGAACGGAGGATCCTTTTGAACAACCTGTTATAATAGGAAAGCTTTATATCTTGAAATTAATTTATCAAGTTGATGATAAACTCCATCGGTATTCCAGAGGGCGTTATTGATGTCTTACACAACAACCCCTTAAAGAAAAGGCCAAGAAAGGGACACAACGGATAGGAGAAATGGAGGTTTGGGCATTAGAGGGGTTTAGTGTTGCTTATATTTAACAAGAGATGCTTACTTATAAATGTGATCATATTAGAGCTCGCTAGGAAGTACTTGGTAATAGAATCTTTGGAGAAACAAACCGACTCATGGGGTTGCTCCAGAATCTTTTCGGTTGCTTGTTCGAGAACTACGATCTTTAGCTCTGAACTGAATCATTTTCCTGTATCTGAGAAGACTTTCCAGATTAATAGTAAGGAAGCTTAATCGAACGGAAGCATAATTCTTCTTCTATGATTGATCGATATACACATCAATAACTCTGAATTGGTAGTTTCTCCTCAAGAAATAAGTACTTGGTCCAAAAAAATCCTGC